CAGGGAGAGGTCAGACAAAATTCTGTTTCTCTGTCCCTCCTTAGTCTGGGATCTGACAGTCCTTTTCGGAAGAGTTTCCATCCTTGTCTTTTGGGGATTTTTGTGGGCAGATTTCTGAAAGAACTTTCCATTGGGTAGAGCAGGATTACTGCACAGATGATAGTACATAGGAATTGCAGATCCCCACAGCTTTTGGTTTATACTGGGATCCAAAAATTCACTAATTTCCCTTTCTAAGGGGAAGTTCTTAAGGCAACTCTTCCACTGAAGTGTCTGACTTCGCCCTCATCTCATTCAGTCTTGCACCCTATACACAAATTGAGATTCAGGGTCTGGTGTTGGTGTGGTCTGGTGTGAACAGCCTTTAATACTTGAAGATCTGAATGACTATTTTGCCAGCATGTGACTCGAGGACTTGCAAAGGGGAGGGGAGTCCTGGTGGGCAGTCACTCCTGGCCTGGTGTGCACTTCACATCTCTGCTTCCCTTACAGTCTGCCCAGAAGTGATTGCTGAGGTACTTGAATGACTACCACAACCTGCATGGGAGGCAGCAGCTTTGGCATGTGAGCTCTGCCACCTGATGCCTAGCCTGTATTGAGACAGTGCCAGCTGAGTGTAATCCTCAGCTATACAGCCTCCTGTCAGCAGGTTATCTGATTGGATCGCTGCCTTGTGTTCTGATGATCTTCCTCATTTCTTCTCCCCTTTTACTCACTGAGTGCCTAGCGACACAGCTAGTCCTCTGCAGCCATTGAGAAATGTTTTGTGGGAGCTGCAAGAAGGTCCTGCACTTAAGTATGTACTGAGAGAGATGAACCTGTTCATTCCTTAGAAAGCAACTGAACAACATGAGGAATCCCACATCTCCTCCACTTCCCCATTCCTGACAGCAAGATCTCCTGCCAGCACCAATTCCCTGCCTTTGGGGTCACCCAGCCTCCCCCTCTGACTAACACTGAAACTACAGTACAAAGCTCCCAGTGCATCGGAGGTTCTGCTGCAGAGTTCCCTTGCTTTCTTGCTGGCACAGTTTCATCTAAGCATTAACCAAAAAAAGAAGAAAAAAAAAGGAAAGAGAGAACGTGTTAACTACGTTGTTACCTAAAACAAGCTGCTTGACGTGAGCAAGCGTTTCCCATCTCCCAGCACGCCCTTATTGCCTGTGTACTCCTAGGAGTTTGCTGCATGTGCATATTCCAGTGAGGACATCTGTCCACTCCTGTACTCCCTGAGACTCCTGTAACATCTCATGTTAAGTAAGCCATCAGTCACATTAATTTGGGTGGAGTTTGCACAGAAAGCTGCTGGTTCTCCCAGTTTCTGGAAAAGACTCTGTTGAGAAAAGTGCTGAAGAGAACATACCCTCTTACCAGCATGGAGAAAAAGTACCTCTCAGCAATGCTGTCTGCATAGTGAAGGGAATAATCTGATTTTCATAACAGGCCTTCATCCTGCTTTGCTTTTGCAGGGACTGGGGATCTCAGGTGGCTGCTTCAGCATGGCGCATACAGCAGAAGGAGATGGGCTGAGGGGAGGTCAGCCTGGGCTGTGCGGTATGCTTATGTGCAGAGGTTTGGGTGACACATACACTGTCTAAGGAACACTGGTAGAACTCCTCAGGTGGCAACAGGGATGCTGCACGTTTGCAGTATACGTCACAGCCCCAAAGGCTGATGAGCAGCCAGCACAGTGCTGCTGTTTGTTAAAACAAATTCCTGTTTTTCTACTTCTGCTGTTTGAAAAGTCAGCAACTTTTCTGCTCTGACTTTGTGAGTCACTCTGAGCTTCTTTAGGTTTAACAGCTGTCTTAAACCTAAAGAAAAAGACCTTCCTGGTAGTTACACTGCTGAGAGTTGAACCTTTGTGTCAGGGCAGGCTCCAAGAAAACCAGCGTCTTTTGAGCAGGGCTCTAGATTTAAGGTTTGCTTTCGCCCCCATCCTTGCCACTCCCCATAGATATCCCATGCCTGGAGAGCGGAGGGAGGAGGAAGCTCAGACCTGTGCTGCTGGGAGGGCAGTGGGTGCCCCATGTGCTCTATCATGGAAGTGGGACTCGGGCTACACAAAGCCTCGGGTGCCCGCAGGAGCGTGGGCCGTTGGGACAGGGTCATACTCACGTCAGGCAGCAATAAGCCCACGCCAGCTCCTCAGCAAATGCTTGGTTTCTGCCGTAAGAAACTTGTTTAAGTTTCTGCAGGCCCCTGGGCCAGCTGGATCTTGGCAGCACACTGGCACTCAATAAATCCCTTTGGGCAGGATTTCCACATGTATGTGCAGAGCCTAGAGCAGCTTCTTCACTGTGCTGTGACAGGCACTGTCACGTGTCTGGTGGTGTACTTCTGTGCTGAGCCAGAACCACCAAGATAATTCTTCATGGCTGGGTGTGCTTGCAGATGAAGGCTGGTAAATGCCATGCATGTCAGCTTAGAGGTGACGTTGACTGCACTCAGCGTTTCTGAGGATGGCTGACATTTTGTGAGCGTTCTGTAGTTCGTGTGTCAGCGACCATTCCTTGCACTATTGAACAAAGAGCAAAATCTCTGTCATTTCTTCAAAAACTCCCACAAAGAGCATGAAAGCATTTTTCCTAAGAAGCTCCCAGTGCCTAAGATCTACATGGAACAGGAAGTTACCTACAGCTCCAGAGGTCAGAGGTTTTGCCTGTTTTCATTTGGTAAGTACATTGTAGTTTGTTAGCTGAGCAGGGAGATAGATCTTGGTAGAGCCATCCAGTCTTGAAACAAGTAGGCAGACACACACTGCTTTCCAAAATCCATGAAGACTGTCGCCTCTCAGATTCGCTTTGATGACCAATTTGTGCAAAAGCCAACAAGACTGAGAACAGTAATGTCATTATTTAAGCTGGTATTTTGCAACATAAAATACCTTTCCTAGGGAGGGTATGTCTTTTTTTAGTGTTGTTTTGGTACATCTGGCTTCCTCTCCCATTTGAAACATTAGGCTGGAAAAAGAATACTGTGCTGTTTAAGTCAGTTGTCAAAGTAGAGAAATTTCTCTGCAGACTAAATTCACATTTTTGTGCTATATAATACTAATGAGATATTCCTTTCTGATTTTCCACTTGATTAAAAATGTTGGTGTTTATCTCAGGATCAGTTTAGCATGCCTTGAATTCTATGTGTTCATGCTGTCTGCACAGACAAGTTTTGGGTCAAAAGTGTGTCCTGCTGGTCTCAGCTGTTAATCTGTTGAAAAATCATTCTGCTCTTTGCTTTTTTAGGAGGCCTGTCTTCTGTAGAGACACAGATAAATTACACTGATTCCTTCTGAGTCACCTAGCAGCAATGGCAAAGCTAGGAGAAAAAAAAATGGGAGGGGAAAGAGGACTGATGAATGGGTGGCAATCCAAAGATCACAGAATCACAGAATTGTAGGGGTTGGAAGGGACCTCCAGAGATCATCGAGTCCAACCCCCCCTGCCAAAGCAGGTTCCCTACAGCAGGTTTAGATCAGATCAGATTTAAAGTACAAACTTCAAGCAGTTCCCAAAAATGAATACTCAGTTATTTTCTTTGGGTATCCCAGCACTGGGGGGAACATGGTTTCACCAAGCCAGGTTTTAATAAATGAGTTAATGAAGTTACACACCACTGCCAGTCACACAGGCTGTGACTTGCCAGGCCTGAGCACTAAGATATTCCTGGATAAAATAATTATGAAATCAGGAATTGAGACAAAACACTATTTGTTAAATTATCTCTCCTTCCAGAGCAATCACAGCATTGGCTCTCCAGCCTTTCGCATCATCTAGGCAGAAAACATACAGCTTCCAGATACTTCCAAATCCCTTCTCTTCACCCTGCCCTGGAAACATTGATGGCTCCCATATGAACAAACACAAAAAAACTGGTCATCTACTAAATCTGTTGCTGATCTCAGCTAACCAACTTCCTGTAATATCAGCAAATACTTCTGCTTTTGTAAATCTGTGCTTCCCTCCATAATGTGGTGCCAGCAGGATCAGGAATGCTTTGAATCTAGAAATGTGCTGGTTGGCAGGAAGAACAAAGAACGTGCTCACCCAGAAGGGCAAAAAAGGGCTGATGCTTTTGTCCTCTTGGGAGAAATGGCACAGAACTCAGTGCCAATGGTTTTTGCATGCAATCAGAAAGATGCTGTTGGATGTTCCCTTGAATAGCCCACATTAATATCAGTCATTCATGAGAAATGTCTTAGATAACTCAAATCAAAGCAGATCCTGAAACACTCAGTAATGTCAGGCTCTCCATGGACTCATCAGGGCAGCTGCTGTTTTTCCCAGCCGTCTGGAAACAGGCCAGCTATGACACGTAGCTGATATTAGCGAGCTGTTGGCTGTATTTCACTCTGCTGCTCTAGGCAACTTGATAAAGGCTTCTTCCTCCCACTGCAGAGCTCACCCACCCAAATCATAGCTGAACACCCGTGTGCAACACCTCTCCACTTGCTCGGGGTGATGCCTGATGCTAACATTTGCTTACAGGGGTGTTTTGTACAAAGGAACGCTCAAACTGGCTTCTGGAACGCAGTAGTAATGTTAAAACTGCCTGATGTACATCTCCGTGTAGATCTGGAGGCAGCTCAGCCCCATCTTCATCACATGGAGACGCACAGACACATTTAACGGGAAACCTCTCACATCACTCAGCGCAGGGAGGTGGCGGGGGTGCAGGGCGTCCTTTTCCATTTGTCTGTAGGAAAGTGAAAAAGCACAAGCACGCTCAGGTGAGAGTACCGTTACTCTGTACGGTACCGGCGCCCGTTCCCGCAGCACAGTAGCACACTCGCTCCGTCACCGGAGAAAACCCCGCAACACAGACAGCTGCGTACGCGGGGACCGAGCCCCGAGAGCCCTTCGGAAGCCCTGAAGCGGGAAGGCGCTTATCGCGGACGCCCTGACGACGCGCGGCTCCGCGCCAAGCCGGGCAGTACGGCGGCGCCGCCATGTTGAGGGCGGGGAGCGCGGGGGCGGCGCCGGGGCCGCCGCGGGGCGCAGCGCCTCCGTCCGCTCCTCGCTGCCGCTCAGCAGCCTGCCCGGCGGGCCGCGCCACTCCATGGCGACCCACAGCCCCTGCATCGTGGTGAGTGCGGGCCCGCGGCGGGGAAGCGGCGCTCCCGATGCCGCCGCGTCTCCGGGCCCGGCCGCGCGGAGCGGGGTGCCGCTGGGCGGGATGGGTCGCTCCGGGCCTCGGCTCCGCGCGCGGGGCGGGCGGCGCGGAGTCACCTTGAGGAGCTCGGCCCGCCGCCGCCCGCAGGAACGGGCCGGGCCGCCGCGTGCGCGGAGCCGCTCCCCGCGCCGTGCCGCCCCGCCAGCCGTGCTCGCGGCGGCGTCTCCTGGAGGAGAGATGGTCGGAAACGCCGGATCCGCAGCTCCAGAACCGCCCCGAAATAACTTCCTTTCGCGCTGCCCGGCGCGGCGCCGCTTCCTATTCCTGTCGCTTCTCCTCGCGCGCTGAGGTGCCGCTCCGTGCGGCCGAACCCCGCGCTGCTGGCGGCTCCCGGCCCCGCAGGAGGAAACCTCGGCGTGCCTCGGAGCCTCGGCTTCGTTTTGTGCGTAAGAGCCTCCACCTGTGGGACCGGAAAGCGGAGCGGTTACGAAGCACGCCGTCATTGTCCGCTTGCGGCTGGCTTAAAGCTCGTGCCGCTCTGATGGTGTGCCCCCAGCCGCAGCATTGGGCGTGTAATCATATGCGTGTATGAATCCCTCGGCCTCATTAATACACGCGTGCCCGCGTTGCGGGCTGTGCCGTGCAGGGGATGTGCGCGCAGCTGTGAAGTAGAGCTTTGATTTCTGCTTCGGGATCTCTGAGCACTGTGATCCCCAGCCCTTGTTTTGCCCCCTTCCCGCAGACGTCCCCCACCGACGGCCGGCTGTGAGCTCTGCTTTGATGTGGATGCCCACGTTCCGAGGCCTCCCCGCTTAGTTGCCAGTGCAGGTTTTACATTACACCGCTAAAATCCAAGGTGTCAAAAAGCTGTTTGTTTTTTTTTTTCAATGAAATAAGATCAGACAGGATGTAGGACTTCCATTTTTCTGCAGTGTTTCAGACAATTCCTGCAGGCTGACGCTTTCTGCTGTGTTCACCGTGACTAATGCTTCTGTAGAGGAAAAAAATCAGGTGATCCCAGTGAGTGTAATGTGTTGGATAAAGCAGAAGATCTGCACTTTCTCACTGCAGGCTTTCTGTAAGTCTTGGTAGAAATCTCACCTGATTTCCTTTTCAGATTGGCGATGATGAACAAGGTTACGACCTGGACTTGTTCTGCATACCGAAACATTATGCGGATGATCTGGAGAAAGTCTATATTCCTCATGGGCTCATCATGGACAGGTTTGTTTGCCTTCAGACACTGCACTGGTTCCATGGCACTGCCACTGATAGCTTGCTGCCTGGTGACTGTCTAAATAGACTATATTTAATCAGAGACTAAGTAGTACATGTGTTCATTTGCTGTTTCTTGTTTGGCTTCTAAGAGTTTGTGCTTTTGCAGTTACACAATTGTTTGGAAATTTGTTGTAATCCTCAAAAGAAACAAGGAGGTGTGTAGCAACCTGCGACGTCTTCACAGAGTTTCTTTGATGTTTTACCTTCTTAAAACCTACTGAGAGCCCATTACCTGTTGTGCTAGTTCAATCTGAAACGATTAGAGTCTCCTGAACTTCCCTAGGATATTAACAACCATAAGTTCTTAATCACGCCATTGTAAACTTTGCTGTGTTGCTGTGATAGATAAGCAATATCCAGCATCCCCTGCTTGCTGGGGGGTCCAACCTTGTCACCTGTGGTTGCTGAAATCTGCGGGGTGCTCTGCAGGTTTTATCTCATGCTGTCAAGAATGGGTCCATAAGGACATAAGATCTTGTTTTATTTCCCTTTGTGGTGCTTGCCTAGTTCTTGTTAGAATGAGCAGCAAATTCAGAGCGGTTCTGAGTAGATCTCTGAGAGGCCTTAAGAATAGGAATGCTTCTGGATTGTGCATAGTGCTGATCAGTTAGATTAAACGTTCCTATAAAATGTTTTGTTTCTTTAAATCATAAATGCTGAAATAACTTTGCAATGGAAGACCATATATAGGAAAAGATTGGACCAAGTACACATCATTGAGTAATGGAAGTAAAATTTATAGTGGTGGGCATTCCCTGAGTAACCTGCTGCTGCTCTCTAAATGTGTACCATGCTTTCTAAGATAAACAGCAGTACAAATTTAGAAACAATGATTGCAGAAAAACAGGTCAGTGTTCTCTTGCTCTGCCTTGTTGTTGTTGTACTTTGCAGTTGGGACAGATTTGCAGCTTGGCAAAATATAAAGCTGTTATTTACAGTTAGAGAGTTCTCCTGCTCATTGGTCAGTGAGGGCTGCTGTCTGTATGTATTGATTTGTTTTGCTCTTTGCATGGAAGTTGAACCTATCTTTGAAAGGGGAAACCTTTATGTGGTTTATCTGCCAGAGGAACAGTTTCAGAGTGTTAAGATTTGCTTTGGCTGAGCATGAAGTATGAAAACAGAGGAGTTTGGCAGCGTTACTGTTTGATTAACCTTGAAAAGCAAAACTGGGTTGGCCAGTAGTGTGTAAAAGTGGCTGAAGTGGTAGGCAAACATTTCTAAGCAAAATCCATTTCTGAGTTTGCACGTGTTTGCTGCTGTTGTTTGCAAGACAAAATACTGCAAGGGTAAGCAAATAGAATGTGTTATGACAGCTAACTCTTGTGTTGTTTTTTTTTTTTTTATAGGACAGAGAGACTGGCACGTGAAATTATGAAGGGCATGGGAGGACACCACATTGTAGCTCTCTGTGTACTGAAGGGCGGCTATAAATTTTTTGCTGATTTGTTAGACTACATCAAAGCACTGAACAGAAACAGTGACAAATCAATCCCCATGACTGTGGACTTCATTAGGTTGAAGAGTTACTGTGTAAGTATATCTGCAGTACTCTGCCATTTTTATATAAACTAACTTCTAGTTAGCCACACAGTTCTGTATTGTCACTAGATGCTGTGAAAACTGCCTAGATGTGCTCATGTCATATAAAAAAATGAGAGAATTGAGAGGGGAAAAGCAGTAGTCTCAAGTTAACTTGTTCTTTGCCTATCTTATATAATCTGTTTACTTTTAGTCTTTACATCCTCAGTTCAGTAAAGTCCTCATTTAGAGCAAAGAGACCTTTGCTGTGTCCTTTATACGTTCAAGAATTTCCTCTCTTCTCTTCTGCATCTCTAATGCTGTGAATAATACAGAGCAGAGTCCTGCAAATATTGTGACAAAAAAAAGAATTCCAGAAATGTTGATGTGGCTCAGACATCATTCACTGGTTTGAAAGATTGGGAAACTGCAAACATGGCTGTACCTGAGTTCCCTCTATCATCTTTTGTTTTGCTCAACTGAACAGTGAACAAATTAATTATGTTTGGCCGTAAGGAAATACTAGATTCCTACACATAGATTTATGTTAGTGGCCACAGACTATGGTGCTACCTCACAGTAACTGTGTGCAGGTTGCCTTGGCTTCATGATCTTTAAGGCCTTTTCCAACCTGAGCAGTTCTATGATTCTATTTGACTCTGTGGGAAAATGGAGCATGAGATAATGGGTAATTTTTGGATAGAGGAAGTATGAGATTTTGTTGTGAGGTCAGAGGAAGAGGCAGATGTCTGCACTCTCTGTTTGCTGACTTAGCAGCTGAGTCTTGTGTTTTCTTGATAGTCTGATAGTTTGAGGGTGTTTTTGAGGTCGTCCATCAGACCACCTGTAGTGTGGAAACAGCTAATGCTTTTTTAAATTCACTTTGTGGTGCCAAAAAAAAGTTGTTTCCGAAGGTTATGCTGTGAGTCTCAGCACCCTTGTATTCAGGTCAGCAGTGTGAGCTGTTGTCACAGTCACAGAACATTGCCTGCTCGAGTAGAAAAAACAGAGGTTGCTAAATTAGAAAGTCAGCTTCATCATTCATCTCATTAAACCATCCCCACATAGCTGGGAAGCTCTCTGCACGTGGCAGCAGCTGCATGGTGCTCCCTTTCTGCTCCCTGCAGAAGGTTCTGGCTCCCTCTGCCCATCCTACACAGCCACCACGTGCCCACACAGCGCCTGTCAGCAAGCTGGATGTTCCTATTGCAGGGCAACGCTGGGCAGCATAGGAAATGATGAGTCCCACCTTTGTTGGCAAGGAAATTTCTACCTTCTGCTTTCTTCAAGGGACACATCCAGTAACTTATTTGATGTATTTAAAAACAATATGAGACCACCCCACCCTTCTGCTCTCTCCACTTCCTAAGTAACTTGGAACAAACAGTTGGAAAAATGTTGTGAAACACCTGAAAAAAAAATCATGTTGAAATGCAAGTCTTGTTCCCCAGTAAGCTTTCTTTGTTCAGCTTTGTGCATTGGGCAGTGCTTTGATGCTGCTGCTTTTGTTTATTGTCACCCGTAACGATGGCGCCTTGATTCTGATCAGGAAATAAGCAGCAAAATAAGTAATGGAAATTATAAGCCTGTTTTTGGTAGCAGAAGGGATTAAATGAAGAGAAAGGAGAGAAATGTGCACGGAAAGCTGTCTAAGCAGAATGTTTTGCTCTAAGTGTTGGCTTCAGGGTTTTGGTTTTGTCAGCCAGTTCTATAGAGAAAAGTTTTCCTCTTGTAGAGGAGGAGCTGCAGTTACCTGATGCCTCCCCCAAGGCGGTGTTTATGAGCATTTCATTGCTATTGACTTTCTTAGGTGGTTATTAATATCCAGACTTGTATTCTTTAGATTGCACAGCTTGACAGACTGGGTGAGAATGTCCTAGCACTCTCACCCAGTGTTGCTGATTGACCAGGTTTTCCATTACTGATAGTCCTGCAGTGCTAGATTGGCTCCATCGTTTCTATTCGTGCTTTACTAAATGAAGGACTTGGCATTCTCAGGGATGAGAAAACCTTCACAAACCATAGCAGGCAGCTAGAAGTGGAGCTCTCCTGTCATTGCCTTGGGATGCAATTGCTTGTTTGTGCTGCCTGCCTTGCCAGGCTGGGTGTGTGATGTTAAAAATACCACAACTGCTCAAATAAGGCAGCCCAACTCGTATCATGGTTCTAAAATCAATGCAGTTGATGTGCTATTCTTATTTGAAAGCCATCTTTTAATATTTGCAAGCTTGTGGGTTATTTGTTTCATAAAGCAAAGTTCCTGGTGTGACAGCACCCAGAAATAATTCTCAAAGGATATGGAGATAATCATGCTGTGATTAACCGTTGCTTCTGACTCCTGCTTTCAAAGTGCTCACAAGTGGATGGTAATGATCTGGCAAGCTGCTAAGAAATGGAGAGACAATGTTTGTGATCAGAACTGGATCGCTGTGTTCTTGACAAGCAGTTTGTTTGGTTTGTGCAAGAAGCATGGCTTTTCACCAGCCTCCTGAGTTTAGAGGTGGGCTGAAGTCGCTGATGTGGAGTCAGGAAGGGCAGCCAGAAGTCAGCAGGTGTGCTGCACATCACTGGGGAAGGTGGGGCTTTTTGATGGAGCACAACACCACTGAGGTAGAACCTCACTGGGCTGATGGAGGCAGCGCTCTGAAAGGTCTCGTGCTACCCAAGCCTCATAGCAAACAGTGTGAGGAACTTCAGTGCTTTTACAAAAGGTGATGGCTGAGTCACTGGTAAGGAGTTCTGATCTTGCAGTTCAGTGTTGTTTTTTATTTTCCAGCAGTGACAATGAAGACGCAGTGAAAACAGATCTAACCAGCAAATCTCTTCTGTGCTAAGCCACAGAGCATTAAAGTCTTACCAGTACTGAAATCCGAAATAATAGGCCTGAAGATAATTAAAACATCACTTAATTATTAAACAAAGTTCGTTCCAGTGGAAAGCTGGTTAGAACCAGCATTGGAAATTCGTTAACCTTTTTTTTTTTTATCCTTTAATTGCTCTGGAGCTCAGTGCCTGCATAGGAATGCAGGTAAATATGTCATTAATGATTTGTGATTTGTGTTCAAGTGTAGCAATTTGTATGGCTCTTGGTGGGAAGGAGGAGGAAAGTTGCTGTTAGTCAAATCATTCTCTGCTGGTCTTTAAATTTGAATATGCACAATCTAGAGGTTTACAGTGTTCTGCAGAGTTCTGTGGTGCTCTCCTTTGATAGTAGTGTGTTGCTTTGAAGCTGGGGAGATGACCAGGAAACTCATCTTAATGTGTGTGCCGAGTGCTGGGCTTCCTCTGTGCCCGTCACTCTAATGGAACAAATGTCTGCAGCATCTTTCTGCGTCTTTCTTTCATAAGGAATGATGCTTCCATGGAACAATGATCAACTCCGTGTTAGCGGAGGAATAGGTAAGAGAGAATCCTGCAACATAACGAAGAGCTCAAAGAAGCTGTCACTTCAGAGAACTGTAAGATGGGATGAAGGCAGGAGCTGCCCCTCATCCTAATGAACGCAGAGCTTCACTGAGTCGCGTTCTGGTTTGTCTAAGCAGTGTCTCAGGCACCCACAGCATTCTGCGTGTCCGCTGGGATGATTTGGGCATCCTATTGTTGGACTATTTCAGCACAGCACTATAATATTGTATTATTTATGTTGTTCAGTTTGGTTCTGTTCTGCTGTGATGGAAGTGCTGGAGCAGCCGAATATTTTCATCCAATGGAGCAGTATGACTCCAACAGCTGTTATCTTTAAAACATACGGTTAAAACTGTAAAGATGCTTTTCCTAATAGTTGGCTTGTGGGTGGGGATTTTCAGTATTGTGCTGTAGAAGTGATACACAGGAAGTATTTCCAGGTTTAACCATCTGCTTTTACATCCCCTCAAGCTGTCAGCACTGCGTTGTCCGAGAGCACTGACATCACTGCCCAAAGGATTTCAGTGCCTTTTCTCTTTGCTGTAATCCCTGTGTTACACACTGTACAGCCAGTGTCTGCGTCTCCCTAAATCATTTGGTTCCTTTCTTTTTTTTTTTGTGATAACACTTTCAGGTTTTCTCTGCAATTCATACAGGTGAATACCTGTCCTTAAATACCTATCTGTCAAAGCAGGAGGTTGTATGTGGCCATTTCTTTCCTTCTATATCTACTATTTCTGGTTTTAGGGAAGGAACTGATCATGCAGCAAGCTTAGGCTTTGATACAGGGCAGCAAAATAAGAAAGGCTTTCTTTCTAAAGGGAAGATACGTGGTTAAGGAGCTATGAGAAGACAGTTTGACAGGAGATATAAACTTTCATAGAATCATGGAATCACCAAGGTTGGAAAAGACCTAAAAGATCACCCAGTCCAACCGTTCACCTATTCCCAATAGCTCCCACTAAACCATGTCCCTCAACACAACATCCAGCCTTTCCTTGAACACCCCCAGGGTCGGTGACTCCACCACCTCCCTGGGCATCCATTGCAGTGCCTGACCACCCTTTCTGAAAAGTAATACTTCCTCATGTCCAGCCTGAATCTCCCCTGCCGTAGCTTGAAACCATTCCCTCTGGTCCTAAAAGATCAAATGGTTAAACTGTAGGATAATGGCATCACCCGTAAGTAGTGCAGCTGTGAGCTTATCACATCTGATGTGAGGCACTGCTGAGCTTTGAAGTCAGCTTTAATAAATGTCAGAGGTCTGAGGTGCTCCTCGTCATTGTTTTTCACTTTCTCTATGTAACAGCTCCTTGAGGACTGTGTCAAAGCCCAGTTCTGCTGAAACAGCACTGTTGTAGTGGTAGCATTGGGAACCTGTGTTGCAGCTTAATTTCTACAACAAATTATTAGATCATTATTACCCTTTGTCGTAAAATAGGCAGTCATGCTTCCCTGGCTGTTTTGTAGCTTATTTTTCTTATTCTTACTTGTAATTGCTAAGTGAATAGATGCTACTGGTAGCATTAATACTGCTTCATTATGTACTTTGCAGTTGTGGTATTTATTGGAAGAAAGATGACTTCAATTCTGGTAATGCTAATGCTCTCCCTTCTCTTTCTTATTAGAATGATCAGTCAACTGGAGATATAAAAGTCATTGGTGGGGATGATCTCTCAACCTTGACTGGAAAGGTATGGTTCTTTGTGTGTTTACAGAAACCAAAAAGGAAACAACTCCGAAGAACCCAGGCAACTGTGTGCTTTCTCAACATGTAGGGATAATAGAGTTTTTTCAAGGGAAATGGGTATGTTTCATTTTAAGTAGTCACTGCTGTAATTCTGTGACATGCACAGGCCCCACTAGAGCCATTGGTTTAGTTTTAACTTAAAAGTAAGTGTGTATTTATTCAATGTCTGCAGTGTGAGCCATATTCAGGGTATTTGTTTCTCTGTGTTCCCTGAGAAGAGCAGTCTTGTCAGGGTTGTTGTCTTTAAGCTACCTTTAGAAGAGTGTGGCATTATTTATTTACTGTGCTGATGTTTCAGTGTGGTAGTGAAGGGAGCTCACCCTGCCTAGGCACGTAACTCGCTGGGTTAGGAGCTGAGGGTCCTGTTACAGGTTACAAAGAGAGAGGAAAATGCAGAGAATGTAAATTGGGAGTCTGCTTTTCTTCAGTGGCTGCACAGAGGTCGTTGAGCTGGGTACCTGTGAGCAAAACGCCGCTGCCTCCTGTTCATTGCTTTCCCCTTTTGATTACATGTAAGCAGTCTTTAAAAAATTGTGATGCATTTCAGTGTGAAGGCCTGAGGTGTGACAAAACTGCTTGGCTTTATAGCACGACACTGCATTATGAGAATTTAAAGACCTGGCATGAGATACTGAGGCTGATTGCCACTGCAGCATCAGAAATGTGAGCTAAGTAGGATCCACTGTTACATGGCCAGACATGCATAAATCATGGTACAAATATTTAACTGCATTAAAAATGAAATTAAAAAGTTATAGGATATATTAGAAATTGTGTGTTCTTTAAATACTAATGGATTCTTCTTATCTTTTTTTTTCTTTCCAACAGAACGTTTTAATTGTAGAAGTAAGTATTGTGTTTCACTTCAGAGTTTTCTGTGATTCTGTCAGTTCTTACTTGTCGTGATTTATTATGACTTTTTAAAATTCTTATTAAAAAGTGACCTGAGCAAAGTGAAATTAAGCACGTTAGTGTTTTGGCAAGCTAGGAAGTTAAACTGAAGAGCAGAAAGAAGTTCCTGGTAGGAATATCCAAAAATAGTGAAAAAACAAAGAAGCCCAGCCCTGTGTATGATTTGTTTAGAGAACAGAGACATGGAGAGTGCTGATTTCTAATGAGCATTTTGCTGTTGCTAATTCCCATATCTCTGTCTCGTTGCTGTTCTTGGGATGATACTGGCAACACTACCTGTAGCTGAGTGTGATTTCCTGGGAGGTCCTGTTGCTTCGCTCTGGCTTTCATGCCTCTCTGTTGTTGGACAGCATTGCTTATGTTCAGAGGATGCCCTTGAGTAAGATGGCTGATTGCAGGATGGGGAAGCAGAAGCACTAGACAGGAAAAGTGAATGTGCAGTGTAACAATGCCTTTAGGCTGCAGGTAATGGAGTGGCTTTGTTGGTAAGCACAGGAACAGCAGTGGCAACCAGTTCAGCAAGCAAAGAGAAAGCTCTTTCCTTCTGTCATATTATTGCACAGGAAGCATGTTCAGTTTTAAAACCAAATTAGTATGTATACAGCAGTCATCTGTGACCAGTGCTCTCCTTTGAAGAGTATTTTTCTTCTGATAGGCAGATGCATTTAATTGTGTATCTGCTCCATTTCAGATGAATGTATGCCTTTAAAGTGCCAGGCAGCTAAGTGGGTTAGTTTCTCATCTGTTCAGTGCATCACCTCTCCAGTGACATCTTATGCATTGTCAAATATAAGCCCTTTGACCAACCACCATTGTTGCAGTTGAACAGTATCTTCTGCACAGAGCACTAAGATGCTCCATATAGCATCCTTTCATGTGCAAAAAACCCCCATGAAATGGAGATTTGCTTCCAAAAACCAGATAATCAAACAACACAAAATCACTAAAACTTTTATTTTGACTTGAGAGCACAGAAGTGGTTGCTTTTGTTTATACGTCAGCTTTTATCCATGTATATCTGTCTTTTTCTTGAGTTGATAGCCATGAATAAAAGCCTTAGGTGTTAAAGGTGGTATAGCTGACAGGTGCTCTGTTGACACTGATGTTTATTGATGTATTTTAATTGAGAGTCCTGAGAAAATAAGCAGAAATCAGGAGATGATAGAGTAAGCATTGCTACTTCTGTGTTATCTGCCTCTTCACTTCAAATAAACCTCCAAGTTCCAGCCAGGGTGAGGGCTGTCCCTCTGGACATCCTGTGATCTGTCAGTCCAAACAGAATATCCATTTCTGGTGCTTCATTTGTGGGTCATAGACTCTTTTTTTTCTGCTTATCTATGTAGTAAGCGGAATTAAAGTGATGCATCAAACTTCAGTTTAGTGTATCCAAATAGAAACTGTCAAACTGCACCCAGATATTACCAGTACAGTTTCTTTCTTTATTTCTAAAATCTGTAATGTAAACTGCACTCTTTTTTTTTTTTTTTTTAATTACATTAATGAGTTGTGACTGTTTTCCCTTCTTATGTTCCTTTTCTTTCTGTTGTATGCAAGCGTCTCTGAGCTCAGCTGCAAGATGGATGCTATGCTTACAGTGTGAGAATTAGACATTGTTTGTGTGGTTGCTGCAAGGAACACGAGCCATAAGATCTGCCAGAGGCGCCAGGAAGGTCACAGTTCATGCTTGTGAAGTAGTTGTCCATAAGAATTAAGAGCCATTGTGAACTGCTGTGATCTCTTTCCTGAGCGCCGTGCCTTAAGCACAGCGTGGCGCTCCATCTCCCTCACAGCACATACTGAACAGTATTGCTACAGAGTGTTCCTGTTGCTGCAGATGAGCAATTCCTGCATTAAAAACTCAAAGTGCTGCTTTGACAGGTTTCGTACTCGCTCTCACATGGTGTTTTGATTTTCAGGACATCATTGATACTGGGAAAACAATGAAAACGTTGCTGTCTCTACTAAAGCAGTACAATCCAAAGATGGTGAAAGTGGCCAGGTAAGCTTCTAATTGTTCTTATTTATGCTGTATTTCACCTTCAGACTGAGCACAGTGTAAAAAGAGGTAATGTAGAATACATTCCCATAAAACACAAACAGCAAGGAGCACTTCTTCAGAAATTGTATGCGATGCACTTGGAGCTCAGTGTATAAATTACACTTTGCTTGTTGTGACGAGGCAGAAACACCATTCTCTCCAATCCTATTGCTTAAAACCCTTCTGTCTCAGGAAGGGATAGCTTGTGCGTGCCTGGGACACGTATTGCTCCTTGATGTCTGGGAATGGGGGTTTCACTGCTGTCTGAACTTGGGTTTAGAATGGAAGAACGAAAATTTTTGAGCTTAAAGAAATCACCCCCTAGCGATGGCAGAAGGATTTTCAACATGAATAGAGTTCATAAATAGACTTTTAATGGAGATTAGGATTTAAAAAATAACAGTGGTTATCTCCATGTGTCAGTGTCTATCTGAGCATATTTCTGCTTGCACTGTTTGCAGTTTCAGTATATTTCAGTGGTGTATCTGTGCAGTGAAGACTTTTTTTTTGGTCTGGTGCCTGTAATTGTAGAATTAAATTAGTTTGCATGCTGACATTACTGTTTGTGTAGGGTGTGTAGTGTAGCTGAGCTTTAGAGGTCACTCTGTGAGAGTCACCCAGCCATATGCTCTTCCAGGCTTTTCTACTTAGTTGCATCTTTAATCAATTAGTTTTGAAACATTTTCTAATTGAATAATTTAAATTTAATAAGGAATGTTGTGGATAATAATATCAGCTAATATCAGCATTCCTCCTACATCTTTTTAAATGGCATCTTTTATACTCCTATGCTACAGTTGTGTATTTTGCAATAAAAGCATAATGAGTGCTGGGGATTAGAGATAAACCAGAGCTGTGTGTAATATCTAATCAGTTGTGTTGCCATAACGATGTCGAAGCAGTTGTTAGATGTACTAGAACAGCTCTTCATGCTGATAATCCAAAGGTGACCTGCTGAAGGTGAGCTTTTTCTTCCTGGCCTGGTTAAATGTGCCAAATGTTAAGCAATTGTTGCTGCTCAGTGCCTTAGCACTGCAGTCAGTACACATGGTGAGTATGAAACAGCACCAGCCAAGTCCAGTTCTGTGTTGTTTAAACCTGTTGTAGTGGGCTGGGTCTTCAAAGGCTGAGCACGATCTCACTGGGTAGCCTCAAGTGTGGTGTTCTTAGTTGGTTCACATGCCTTTCTTTTCTTGTTTTCTTTCTCTCTGACAATTAATCGATTGCAGCAGGGAAATGTGAATTAATGCTAACACTAATTGGGGTTTGTTTGACCAAGGCCTACACAGTACTCAATAATTAAGCCTGGAGTAGATGTTTCAGAAACAGAATGTCTAGAATTGAAATGGTGGATGTGACAAATGAAGTCTCACCTTCAGAGGTGATCCAGGAAGGGAGGAGGTCTGCAAATACAGAGTTATGTTGCTCTGTCTGTGCATTTGGCCATCACCCACCTTTTCCTTTCCTCCCAAAGTCTCTCTCTCTGATACAAACAAATGTCAGGATGGTGGAGTTGTCTTCTGAAAGGTAGATGTGCTCAACTGAATAAAGAGCGAGGCAAACTGAACTAGCGAGGCATCTCTATCTGCTGCAGTACCCCAGCTCTGTATCTTCTATCTTGCTGTTTCTTACACCTCTGACATTTAATTCTGGGAAAGTGGAACTGGTTTGTATCAGCTGAGCATCAAGACCTGTTAACCTTTTCTTTATAGGGGTAATTAGTATTACCAGTGAAAAACAATTGAGGACACGTTGTGCAATTGAGGTGGTATTAAACCAACTGATTTTGCTTTGTAATGCTGATAATCCAGCTGGTTTGGCTGGATCCCATCTCTTCACCTCTTCACCTGTGAGCTCAAGTGCTTGCACCTGAAATTTCTTAACACATAGAAAGCCTCACTAAGTCACTTTTGGCAACAAAAATCCATACAGATTAAGATCTCCCAGCCTCTTTCTTGCAGACTTTATAGTTATCCTTTAAGCTGCAAACCTTTAGTGATTCTACAAAGTTTTGAGTTTATCATTGAGATCAGCTGCACCTGCAAAGGAAAAATGTTTGAAATCTTTATGGCTGTGCTTTCCATTACACACATTGAGGCTCACTGAAGTGAAATCCAGCCTGATTTCATCACAATTTCCTGTAGTCCTACATGGTGCATTGCCGTGTTTCAATTTTACTTTGATTTTATTTGACAGTTTGTTGGTCAAAAGAACTCCTCGAAGTGTGGGATATCGACCAGACTGTAAGTAACTCTGACAACCACTGCTCATTTTTAAACATACGTTGATGTTTTGTGCCACAGTCCACGGGTCTTCCAGATAGTTGTCATGAACGGTTTTTGATTGATTTTAAAAGAAAACAAAACAAACAAACAAAAAAAAAAACAACCAAAGAAGAGCAACAACTTGAGTTTAAGTATTTGCAATTAGTTTACTATATGAAATGAAGACTTAGATATTTTGGTCCGTGTGAATCCACTTTCATTTGCAAATTCTCCATGCTTAGAAGCAGTCAAGACTTTGGTCAGCTAAACCTGCTGACTCACCTTTGGCACTATGGGGAATGTTTCAGGTGCCTAAATGAAGCCACCCAGTGCCATTTGGAAGCTCCTTAGGGAGGGATGTGTGTTTTATCCCCATTCCTGAGGCCGAATTCTTGTTCATGATGGATTGTGCACTCTCACAATGGAAGTGGAGTGAATTCAGCCACAGAATCACGTCCTCTTCCTTCTCCTTTCCAAGACTGTACAGTACTGATGGAAGCCTCATTCACATGTTCCTTAGGTTGTCTTACAGGCTGTGCAGTTGAACGGATGCTGCCCAGCTGTCCAAGGGCTGTCTTGCTAGAGCCATGCCCATTATGCATTAGGGATCAAAAAATAAACCTATTTAATTTCGTTTTAGTTGAATTCAATCAACAAAAAATGTCAGAAGTTTAAAATAACGTGAGTGTAAAGCTGAGGATACCTGAGTGGAAGAAATAAAATGTTAAGCAGCTTATGTGTGGATAAAATTCCAAGTTGTGTGCGTGAAAAGGTCTAGTGAACTCGAGGAAATTCCTTTCTAACATACTGGTGACTTATGTTCTTTTTTAGTTGTTGGATTTGAAGTGCCAGACAAATTTGTTGTGGGATACGCCCTCGATTACAATGAATACTTCAGAGATTTGAATGTAAGTAATTTTTCCCATATGTTTTTGTCCATTTAAAACAAGGAAGGCGGAAGGAAGGGAAGTCTCCTTACATTGCTCTCCCTCCTCTGTGTAAATCACAGCAAGGTTACTCCATCAGTGATGAGGGCAAGCCTTAGAGCAGCACAGCAGTGTTAGGAGCTCTGATAGAACTAACATTTATTTTGCTTCACACAGAACAGAGGATGCAGTCTGTGTGCAGTTTCTTATCATACCAGATATGTACATTAAATTTGCTTAGTTCCATGAAAATAAAGAGGGGAGACCTCAAAAGCCTTTTTATACTAAGACACAAATTCTTCACCTGGGTCTTATATGTCCTTCTAATGGACACTGGGGGGGGAGAGGAAGGAGAAGGAAGGCAACGCTGAGGTTTGTAGCCAAAAACAGGCTGAAGTTTTTCTGCACAAGCAGTGTCAGAACACTCTTCAGGGCTGACACTTGTATGGCACGCTTTCATTTCTTTCAGAAGAGCAGTATTGACTCTGTGCCTGAACATCAGCTTCTTACATTCCATCTCTAACTGGAGGTTTCAATGTTTTGTTTCAGCATATCTGTGTGATCAGTGAGACGGGGAAGCAGAAGTACAAAGCATGAAAGCACGGTTGAAGTGCTCTGACTACAAAGCTTTGAAATGTTTTGTTTACCAAGTCCTATCTCTCACTGGCTTCAACTCTGGTACACCAGCTGAAATTGTAGAACGCCCCGTCGCCATACGCTTACTGTAACTTATTGCATGTACAATATCAGAATCTCGTCTTGTTCATTTATATTATAGAAATGTAAACAACCAGTGCAGTTCTGCACTCCTTATTTTGATTTGCACTATGACTCTACCGACTATTGCTGCCCCTGGTTGGGTTGTGCTGTTTGTGAGCTCCAGAGTCTAACTCTTGCAGTGGTAAATTGCTTAAACCTCATCAACCCAGAACTGAAATAGTTCGAGTACTGTAAATGTAAAACATTTTATGATAGGGAAGTCTATTAGTAATATTTTTTAAAAGCTGTAATTTAAGTTTTATATTTTAATTCACAAATGTGATTGTGATTAAAGGATAGTTGCACCTTTGGGTGTTATGGAACATGAGAAGCAGCCAGTTACAGTATCTGTAATCTCCAGGGAGCCACTGACACCTCCTGGAGTTGCCTTATTGCTGTAAAAAGGAGTCTGGGTAAAAAACAATGTCTTTTTTTTTTTTTTTTTTCTTTTTCTGAGATGGAATGACAGAATGTTTGAACTCTAGTTTTAGTTGAGCTGCCTGTTTCTTTCAGATTTTTTTTTTTTTCTTTAAAAATATCCATCAGACAGTGAAATTGCCTTTTAAATTTAAACAGTTTTAATATATTTGTGGGAAAAAAGAAGAAAAAGTATTGTAATGTTTACTTTCTAAGAACTACAAAGCAAAGTACTTTAAATAAAGGCTCTCTCTTTAAAATACCCCCCACACATCTATGCCACTCACTGTGTACATTGAGGTACTCTCGAGATTCTCTTCTCAGCAGCGTGTTTCATCAGTGCTTCTGGCAGTGAAGGCAGGCTCCACGTTTGTTACTTGTGCAGAGCTTTCTGTCAGCACAGTGCTGTCTATGGGAGATGATGAAGGCCTGAGGGAAAGCTTTAGGAAGGCTGGCATCTGCTGTAACCAAACTGGATTTCAGAGAGAACGTTCTGAGTGCTGTCCCTTCTCCTGTTTTGGCAACAGTGAAGAGTGACAGATATTCCTTCATTAAACACATATCAGGGAGAGAGAACCCAGCCAATTTGTAAGTACCTGCTTTTATTCACATCTTGTTTGAGTTGTAATGCTAACCATGGCAGTGCACACCTTTCCTTCTGCTGTGCTGCTCTGTCCTTTGCTTATGCAGTTGGTGTGCTTGCACACGGACTCACTGCGTGCTGGGATTTGGTGCTGGCAGTGCTTGGTACATAGGTACATACAGTGCTTGGAAGCATTTGTCATCTGTTCTGCAAGGTGTTTTCTGGTTTTTGAGTAGTATTTTTTATATTCCAAGCACCTTGCAGCACTGTCTGCCCTTGGTGTGTTCAGTTGCAACCGTGGCACTTAATGGCAGCCCTAAAACGTGAGTAACTTACACCATGTAATTGTGTAATGATCAGTGTGCTGGAGATCTAGTTGCAAATCAGTAAGAAAAATAACACTGCTCACAATTGTAATTTACTTTTGTTCATGTTATGGTTAATGTTCCAAAGAGCTTTTCTAATGGCACTATATAGGCTGATTCCATTTCTGAATGTGTGCGTGTGGAGAACTGCTGTGCTCAGGACTTCCTTTCAGCAGGTGGTGCTTGGCTGAGGAGAGGAAGCACAAAAAGCAACACAGAAAACTACCAACCCTCTTTAGAATTATGACATCCATTTGAGTTTTCATTGGGTGGATGGAATGAAGGCCTCATTACAGAAAGCAATGTTCTCTCCAACCTCTGCATAGTTCCTGCATCACTGCGTTCTGGAATAATTGATGGCATCTGGATATTGCACTCAAAAGGGGGCATAAAAGTACATGAAACACAATGAAACAGTGAGACTTGCTCATATCTTTTAGGACTAAACCCTGACACGAGTTTGTGCTCTGCAGTGTTTTCCTGCCTTGGTGTAGGATGTTACTCAAATGCTGTGATGTGAGAGAGGCTGGAGAGGATGGGTGTCACAACAGGGGGTTTGTTGGAGCAAGGAAAGGGTGCTGGAGCTGTGCAGCCTGGGGGGCTGGCACTGCAGAAGAGCAATTGTTAAAGTATTATGAAAGCACTGAGGAAATCTTGCTTTAAACTCGCAGTGATCTGAATCACAGGTGCTCCAGGCTGAGCTTGGAGGGGTGATAGAAAGCTTGTATGATAATTGTGCTGGTGGTTCCTTTTGGGAGGTGGTTTTGTGTTACAGAGAAGTCCTGGATTAGAGAATTCAAACAAGCAAGGGTCTTTGCAGCCTTGAATTACTCACTAGTAGCTGCAGGAGCTGCTGTTGTGCAGGGAATGGCACTGCTGCTCAGGGCAGTTGTGGTTCAAGGCTCCCCTACCTCTACCTGTGACTCCACTTGTGACTCTGTGCATTCTGTGGGCAGGAAGCAGTCCCACGCCACTTCCTTGTGCCCCTGTGCCTTTGTGGTCTGCAACACAGCAAGTCTGGTTTCAGACACTCTGCCTCTACACATAAAATGATGATGCAAAATTTTTAAAGCATTGAAAAAAACAAAAAAACTGATGTAAAACTTGCAAAATTAAGTATAGTAATGCAGAAGTGCTCACCTTCTGTGCTGCTGGGCCACAGCTGAGCCACGAAGCAGCGAGGGGAACATCTCCCCACCACCCTCCTGCCCCACAACTGGACTGGGATTCAGTAATTGCAGGAAACAGTTGAAAACCCACTGCTGTGGGACAGCCAGCCACCAGAACCCCCAGCACAGCATAGGACTGGGGCTGCCAGTGAGGCACCATCACCTGCAAGGCACGTGGACTCACTGCTGCTGCAAAGGATGGATGTCCCCTGATGTCCCAGTAGTGCGGTGCAGCCCCAATGGAAGCAGCCTTCAGCCCACAGGTCCCCCTTTGCTGCCACCAGAACTGGGTGGTTCAGCATGGGAGATGCCAAGGGCAAAGCACTTGCCTCTAACCCTACCTCCAGCTCCCACCACCTCCCCAGAACCTCATTTCCCACCCAGGATGCTGGGGAAGAGCTCGGTCTCCCCATGCCAGAGTCCTGATCCCATTAATGACACCAGGCCCTCGTTACTCACTGTGATTTATTGGTGCTGGAGATAGGTTCCCCCCCCGACCCCCTGCAGCACAGAACTCCCCAGGTGCCAGGGACTGATTTCCAGCCTCACTAAAGCAGCAATGCAATACTGGAGAGCAACAGGCGATCCCCCACTCCAGTATTTACGTGCTGCTAGAGCACTGCTGACAGCTCTCCAGCCCCGTGCATCTCCCCACAGCCTTCAATCCCCCCGAATCCACCCCCCAAATCAGAGGGGGCTGGGAAAAGGCTGAACGTGGAGCAATATTGCTCTGGAGGCACTGCTCCACCCGGGATGGACTCAAAGAGCACAGGAGGAGCAGAGCCCTTCCTGCACGGCCACCCCACAGACAGGTGTACCTGCACATCCCCGTGCTCCTGAGCTAAGGGCTATGGGGACACGTCAGCCTCCACCCCTATGATAACCAGAAGCTCACTTTCTTGTCTTATCCTTGAGGTAATGAGGCAGCCCAGAATGGTCTGTATCTCCTTGTCCCTACAAACCATGATGTGCTGCTACATCTCCTCAAAGCCCACTGAATGTTGGCATTCCAAATGGTATTTTGGTTATTATTATTGTTATTATTATTATTATTTGTAAATCATGACATAAGGCAGCGACGAACGCTCTACATGAAGACATGAACATGCATGCATTACCACCTCAGGACTTTTGTGTTGATTTGGTTTGTTTTTGTTTGTTTTTTTTTTTTTTGCCTTCCAGGTGCTATCAACCTGCAACTACAAAGAACAAGCAGTTACACAGTGCAAACAGACAGAAATACCCCACTCCCCAAACCCACAGTGCTGCAACATGGCACAGCTGCACCCCCAGAGCTTGTGGGGGAATGATCCACTGCCTTTCCTTCTTCCCTTAGGGGCTGTGGTGCATCAGCTGTTGGCCAGGAATCACAGTGCCAGCAGCTGAATGCACAGCTTAGCAGGGCAAACCTCTTGTGTCCTTAAACTGCTGAAGGGAAGGAAGGGAAAAAGAAAGAAAGGGGGAAAGAAGGAAGGAAAGGAAAGGGGGAGAAGCTTTTTTTTCCTAAAGCTGACATGATGCTCATGTACCTTTAGAATGGACAAACCATCTGCAACCAGAAAATAAAGGTACTCTGACCCTCCATCATTCCCTGTGCAGAGCAGAGGCTGAGGCTGCAGCACAGAGCGCCCAGACCTGTGCAGACAGCCCGCACTTCTTTGTTTCCTCTTGACTTTTTTTCCCCCAGTTATGTGACAACTTCCTTCAATTCATTTTCCCAAAAAGCAACGTCACAGCAGCGCAGAACGACGGCAGCAGCCAGGCCTGTCCCACAGGGAGCTCAGCCCCTGTGCTGCTCTGCCCCTTTAGCAAACTGAAGAACGGGATTTCAAGAGCCCTCCCAGCCCGTGCCAGCCTATTGGAAACAGCCAATTCAATATTTGCAAAAAGAGAAAAAAAAAAAAAGTATTTTCTCCATCACTTCAATGTCCTCTGTGCTGATGGCAGCAGCTCCAGCTCTGCAAAGTGCAACTGCTGTGCTGTAAAGAGCCAACAGCCGAAGGGAAACCCAGCCGGGGTGCAGCAGAGCAGCCCCGCAGTGCTTCAGCTCTGCTTCTGCAAGAGCACTGCGAAGGGCTGCACCTGGGGAGGATCACTGCTTCCATCTCTTCAAGCAGCTCGAGAAAACAGAATAAAATACGTTAAAAAGGCAATAGCAAATCAGCTCAGTCGTAGCATCCACTTATATAAATATATTAAGTAATGCAAAGTCCTGGTTGTAGCTGGACAAGGTGCAGGACACTGTTGCAAAGCTTTCAACACGTGCCCACCAAGCAGCTCGCAGAGAAGCTGGGAAATCTGGGATAGGTGGGGAAATACATACCTGGGAGAGTGCTGTGTGCTTCTGATGGAGAATGGCTCTGAGCTCTGCGTGTCACAGCAGTGAGCTGCCTTGCACTCACTGTGTAAGGTGTGGGATGGGATGCGAGTGCTGCGGGCTCCCAGCACTTACCTGCCCTCACCTGGCCGTGGGCTACAGCTCCTCCTGCCAGTGCCTCCAACCACACGGGAGCTGGAAAGCAACACAGAGAGCTGAGAAGGGTTTGGGACTTCAGTGACAATAGGTTGGGTGGACACACAATTAAGGGAAAACACAGAGCTCCACCAAGACGCCGTTTGCTGCACCAGCAGCCTTAAATATGGAGAATATTCCTACCCCCAAAATTTGCACTGCAGGACTGGAATTGGGGGATTTGCTCCATGCAGCACCTGTGGAGTGAATTCCCCATATAATGGGAGGAGCAGAACGTGCACGAATGCATGAAATGCAATGCAGCTCCTCCTAGTACAGCAACTCGGGCTGTGGAGTACAGCACAGCCCCAACGCCCTGAGATAGAGCCACCCTGAGATATGAAGGGGGGCTTGAAAACACCAGCACCAACCAGAAATGAATAAATAAATAGGGGAAAAAGGAGAAAAGAAAGGAAAAAAAAAAATGTGAAAGAGGGGAAGGAAAGGAGAATCCCATAGAGAGCAGTTGTGCACAGTCGCCCTCCTCTACTCGCACGCTGCAGCACGGGGTGAGCTCTGCAATAAGCCAGCATTAAGCATTTCCTATATGGGTTAAGCACAGGGAAGGGATAAAACAGCACACCGACCCAACCCGGAGCTCTCACAGCTCTCCCAGCCGAGCTGTCTGCGTTCCAAAGGCACAAACAACGAAAAAAAAAAAAAAAAA